AAGAATCTGAGCCTCTATTTACCTTATTTTTTAACTCACAGCCTATTCTAACGATGTGGCGTAAGAACTGAGTTATGATAAAAAAAAAACTTGTTGTGGCATATTTTATACTTCTATGTTTTAGTCAGAGAGAAAGTTCGAGATCAGTTGGAAAGCGCAAAAACAGGCCTCGAGGTGGAAGAAATTGTAACTAATTTTAAAACATTTAATTAATTGTACTGGATTTTGATTTGTCGTTTTTGTTAAGGACTTGACTGTCTTAGCACCGCGAAAGATCGACTGGGACTTGAAACGTGATATCGCCCCAAAACTCGAAAAACTTGAGCGGCGAACCCAGAGGGCAATCGTTGAACTTATAAGTATGTTAATGCTAAAGTTTGGTCGTTTTAAATGATTTTCTTCACTTTACACAATTTAGTAGAAAATTGGGTAGTCATAATTTCTTCTGCCGATTTTCATACTTCACTCACGATATCTAAAGCGATTAGTGCCCGCGCTTAGCTTAGAGCGTAACTGATCCCGTTTGCACATGTGAGCAAGAATGCGGCGCCATAATTAGTTTTGACCCAGTTTAGTGGAATTTTGCCTAAGAATGAAGTCCGTACACTTCCACCAAACTGAGCCATATGGCGTCCATGTCCTTGTAGGACCATTTAAGCAGACTTGATTGTTGGTGTTGAACATTCGCAGTACGATGCATAATGCATCAATTTCTATGATGTAGCAATGCCTTTGTGTCTGAATGAGATTTTAAGATCTAATAGGTATTAAGATATTAATCATATTTAGTCCTGTCTGTCTTAGTGTTATTTCTCGTGATGCTCCTCAGTATTTATGGCTCTATTTAAGCATACCAGGTCTTCATGATATATGTGCAGTTGCAATACATTGCTGCTCCTGTATCATTTCGTTGTTCAGGGTAATACTTTACTCATAAGCGATTTTATTTCTGAAGTCGATACTGCTAGTATGCTTTGCTAGCGGTATTAAATGTGGAATTCAATGCCGGGACTATCGTACTAGGCATAGTCATGCCAAACTGGGTTGTGCGCCATAATGAAATAGCCCCTTTTCTCGTAAACACTATATCTAATTTCTTTTCACTATTTAACTTGAAGTAATTCAGAGCTTATATCATTAGTGCTTTGCACATTAGTCCGTGATTCATCGTGCGAATTGATTTAGGAGAGAAGTTGGCCTCCGGTAGACATGACCTGTTGCTCTCTGCCGTGAACGCCGATGTCAAAGCGACTGAAGAAAGTCATATGTCGGATGAAGATTAATCGCATTGTGTTTGTCTTCTGTACTTTTGTAAAAAGCATCTTAAAATGAGCAAATATATACACTGGCGGTTTTTGGAATGCGTCACTTTTTCAGATCTGCTTGATGCTTATTTGATCAGGTGTTTTGCGATGCAAGAATCAGAAAGTGAACTATTTTAGTAAATTATTGAATGACAGCGTCCTAAGATGAAAAATGCTAATCTGAGGTGGTTATTGGCAGAAAGTAGAACTCCCTGATGACTCACTTGTTTAATGTAAAATGACTACGTGACGCTTTCAAATTGTCCAAACAGTGGTTTGTTATTGTCCAAACAGACTTGTTTGGTACTGAACATTGTTCAACCTAACTTAGAGATGCGGTTATGCGTCCTGTGCACTTAAATAGCATGAAGTCATGGCCTGTTTAAATGCCCTGAGTGAGGAAAAGCATGATGCAAAGTTGGCGTACAACCGGTGTTCATTCTTCTATCGGTCTTACGCTACCACAGTATCGGTTTAAAGTAAAAGAAAAATGTCATGTTAATTTTCACCGTGTAAATCAGTATTAAAAGTGCGATATTTATCGGCGGTATTAAAATCTCTCTTGGAGTTTACCTCAGAACATGGGGGTTATATCTAGACGCATAGATGGATGATTCAGCTGGCTGTGATTCCAGGTGTTGGAGAACCTGCGGTCTCTAAGTTTGGCTGAACAAACAAGCGTTAGAGCAGGGCTAAATCTGTCACTGTATGTAGATGAACACAACTCTGAAATTCTGGGATAGCTACTGCAAACGCTATATCAAGTTCATCCGCTTATTATAACTTCTTGATTCCTAATACCTGCTTCAATTGGTTAAGCGCCCTGCTCTCAGAATATTAGCGGCACGCTGAGTGTATTTTATTTTGTGACCGAAAATGCATTTGCTCAGCCAAACACAAAGATACGGATTTTATACCATGTACTGCAAACTTTCAAATTCCATGGAACCATGATTTGTTTAAAAGGTCCCTTTAGGTATCTTGAAGAGAAAGGCAGTGCATTTAGGCATGGTATCTCAGATATTAGGGATTCTTCATCAGAATTTTCGAACTACTGTTCGATGAAGACTTTGCCACAGATTTCTGTTAATTTCATGTTCATCGAAATTCTTCAGTTAATCATGCTACAGATCTTGGGATCTTCCTACGATTGTATTTCTTGGAACCGAATATGATGCCTTTTTCGTTCAGTGATATTCAGTTTTTCTTGTATCATGTCCTCCATTGCCATATCAACTTCCTCCCTTGAGCAATGATATCGCAGACTTGTTTTTACTGTTACCCATTCATTCGATATGCTGTCGTTTATTGTTAGTCCCTTATCAGCTGCGGAATTTGCATCTGATGGGCCTGTGATTACTTTCTGCATTCAGGCTGTTCAGCACTGCAATGTTATCTGCTGTGATTTTCATAAGGATGAAATCAATATTGTTGTTGTCATAGTTTTGGCCTCCATTTTTTTCCTGTCCATTTTGCTGGTTTTTTCTGAAAAAGGTGTTCTTCCAGTGAACTTCACTTTCCAGTCAACCATTTCGTACCATTCGCCGTAGGGAGACAGTGATACAGTTGGCCAGCTGGTTGCTTTGTGTGCTAAAAAGCGGGATCAAGCGCGTGAGTTCTATCTTATTTACTGCTAATTCTCTTGAACAAAGAATTTAGGCCATTGCCCGCAACCAGCCGAAAAGGGTGGTAAGTCGTAAACCATTAACGATAGAAATAGCATGTGTTTTCGTATGATCATGCAGTCGTGTTGTCTGATGTGTGCACTGCATGGCTGCAATTCGTACTGACCTGCATCATAAACGGCTAACAATCAGCAGAATCTGTAAATATGATTTTTTTTAAATGAAAATTTACCAGCTTGGCCCACAGAACATTGGTTTCCTTTCTACGAAATGATTATGGAATTCTTGAAATCACCCAATGATTAACTTGTAATGGCTGTTTACGATGCAGTTCTATTTGTTACTAAAAATTTTTATTCTCTTCGTGTCAGGGCATATTCTTGGATCACGTGGAGTTCGTATCGCTTTGAAACTCTGAACCGGTCTTGAACACTTTGCCGTCCACTTGAATGGTTTTGAACCTTCTGCAAAAGATGTGCCAGCTCCCATTGTATTTCTCTTTGTTGATCACCTGTAGAATAAAAGGGTCCATTGTTAAACTTTAATAACCGCTCCTCGCTTCGCTGAGTCATAATTTCCGTACTTGATTTTAAGTTAGTTCCAGCTTTCAAAACCATTCTTCACCTAGCAGTGATCTGCAGTTGTACTTTGTCATCCTTAGTAAACTGTAACAATTTTGATTCGTAACCCAGGTAATTTTAGTACTCACCATCCACTTTCTTGCCTGATCTGCAGTTACCTTCGCTGACTGGATTCCAGCCTCTCAGAAGTGAGAGTCTTCGCCAAAGTTGTGATTTTTGGATTGCTTGACCATGATTCATGCAGATTGGAAGTTTCCTTTCGTTCCATTTGAGCTTGAATATTTGCTAGGCTTTCTCAACCTGACTGAACTTGTCAGGTCCTATAGGTTTAGATGTGCATTGTCTTGAGAACCTGTTGTTAGTCTTTTCTATCATGATGAGGGCTCGTGAGGGGTTATTATATACTCAAATGATATAATTCTCAGCAGGACTGAAAAAGCACCGTTAGCAATTGTAATTCCACAACACATGTTATGGCTTGTGTATAAAATACTTCTCTGACGGCATTCTATGAGGTATGTACTTCGATCAACCAGCAAACTTCTGTTTGTATTAAACTACGAAAAATGCATGATGAAAGTTTGCTTCTTTATCTTTTACCCGGTGAATGAAATATTATTGCTCATGGGCAAGAAAAACGGAATATTCGAACAATGCATTTTAGCCTGTATCAGTAAGCGGAAATACTGATGGTCTTGGCTGGTCAAAACATTGAAAATCTGACGATTAACCTTGCAAAAATTGTTTTGTTCACATCTTCAGCCACCTAAGGAAAGCATCAGATCTGTTACTATTGTTAGTGAAATGTATCTGTTACTTATGTTTTAAGTTTGCTGTAATCTTATATAATTGATAAATATGGTTGTAATGTATAGTGCTTTACAGTGAACGAAAATGCAGCTGGCACATTTTAAAGTAGACATTAAACAAACGGTAGTACGAGCTATTGTCGTTTTTTGCCTATGCACCAGTGAGGTTTGCGCTTAATTTGTTGATAAAGAATGCCGCGCTTAAGGTTGGAACCGAGTAAGCGGCTTTTCTTCAACGCCCCGTTTCTGACCAAACAGAAGGCAGCTTTGCGCCTCACGAACGACGAGTACTGGCCGATCATGTATCGCATCAAATGCACCTCTCCGAGGCGCTACCTACTTGACAAGTGGACCGGGGCCCTGGGTGTCGGTGACTCTGCGCTTCACATCATCCGTTTGTTGCCACTGAACTATCGCGAGGGTATGTGGGATCGCTTCACCATCGAATACTGTCGGGTGCCATCCGAACGCGTCGTCGCATACGACGAAAAGTTGTTGGAGCAGAGCGACGTGCTGATGCAAAAGTCGTTGCGAGTCTGTTTTCACGTGTGATCCTAGCACTCGTAATTCTGAACTACCGTGGTCGTCTGTCTGCTCGGTGAAACTACGTCAGAGCAGGCTGTTAAGCTTGATAAACTTACTTTAGTAAGTCAAGTATCAACTGGGTTACATTCAGGTGCTCAAAATTCATTGCATTTATTCGATGCTGCTTTTATTAAACTGAGACGTATTCACAAAATGTCACCTCTTTCGCAAAGTGTGGGATGCAGAATTAAATTTTATATTTTATACATTAATCGCCAAACTCGTAATTCTTCTTAAAACCAACTGTCGGCGGTCATATTAATGAATATTTTAGCAGCGTCACGTAAGGTAAGGGTTGTTCAGCTTAGCCTCTATGGTTGCTGTGAATGCTGGTCATGAACCGTGCAATGATATGCCAAAGAGACTGCTGTTTTAGTTTAAACTTGCCGTTGCTACCGAGTGGTAGAGAGGCGGTTGCAACTGGTCGACATACATACATTCATTCATATATACACACATGAGTACATACATACATATATCCATATATACCTACCTACATACATAACATACATATATACACACGTGCATACATATATACGTACATACATACACTCTTTTCCATCGAAGTCGTCAGCGGCGTTTGATTCACCAGTATGCATATGTTCCATTGACGTAGCTGTCTTACCACACGCTATGCCTTCCTTGCTCCAAGTAACAGAGTATAAAAATGCGATTAACTTGAAACAATCCACCTTTGACTACGCCCACATGATTATGTCAAACTCATAATGGCTTTAAGTTGCATATGTTGATCTTAAAATATAAAAAAAAATGTTGCAATGCTTTGACAATGACAAGTGACAAGCGGAGTGAAATAAGTGGCGAAAGCAACAGAATACTGTATTAAATTTATTTAATGCAATTCATAATGTAATTAATTTGGTGCTGTGCATCCTGAAAGGTGTTATATGGTGAGAAAATTCGTCATCATTGTTGAGGTTTATTACAATTGAGCAAGAACCAGAAATCAACAAAAGATCTACTGAATTTTTGGCATGTGGCACAGTTGTCTAAGAGGTTTGCTTCGAACTCCGAGTCCGATTTCGCCGCAGGCATATTTATCCTTATTCACAAATTGGATCAAGCAAGGAATTTACCACATGATGCTTCAGACTCGGAGTCGTAGAACTCCGAACTCAGAACCGCTAGGTTCCGAGTTCAAGGATCTCTCAGAGTCACTCGCCGTTTTTTTCCGATGTTGATAAATGAGTACCATTCTTTGGAAAACTACACGTCACACTTCGCACGTTGCTGTCGACTCTGCCTTTTGAAGAATAATGCACTCCTGGCTGATGGCATGGAAATGGAGATCAGTGCAGCATCATCAACTTCCTGAAAAGAAGAGTGCCAGAATTGTCCAATCGTTAAAATGTAGGAAAACGGACATACTTTGTACATACATACATACAAACGGACATACTAAGGAAAACGGCAGTAGTGACATTTTGTTTTCGGCCCAAAGACATTCCTCCACATTCAAAATATAGTCCTTAGATGACCGGCAACTTGAGTCTAGATCAAATATGTTGATAAGTTATGACATGGCACGATTACGATGTGGTCGTCCGGAATGTGAACATAACTGTTTTCCTTTGCAAAGCAAAGGTAAATCTAGCCCTCGGAAAGTTTGAAGATAAGTTGAAAGACTGGAAACTGTCGAAGCCCCTGTGTGGTCCAGAAAAATTGCGGCAGTGAAAATAAGTAAATTCTTACAAGTAGTAAAATCTCTGCTGGTGGTAAAATATCATGGAGCCGTGGACTGCTTGCTTTAACGGTCTTCAAGGCTGCTAGAAGCAAAGAGACGGTG